GGGGCCACCCAGTCGGAGTCAAGACCTTCTCAAATCCGGGCGACTTTGTCATGCAGATATTGAGCAAAATCCTCAGCCCTCCCCTCCAGGGGATCCTCCCCCCCCCTCAACTGAAGGAGGGAGCGGGTCACCCTGAAGAGGGTGGCTGGGCGATTATCTGATGACGCAATGAGGGTGGAGTAGTAATTAGACCTAGCCACCCTCATCGCCACTAGGTAGGATCTAACCTGCGTCCTTGCCTGTGCTCGATCGGATTCGATTCGGCTAGCCCTCCAACTGCTCTCTAGGCGTCTTTTCCGGCGCTTCATCTCTCTCAGCTCCTCGGTAAACCAGGGAGCCAGTTGAGATCTGCGCCAGGTCAGAGGCCGCAAAGGCACGACTCGGTCCAGTGCTGCGGCAGCGGCCACATCCCAGGCCGCCGCCAGATTTTCAGCCGAGTCGTGAACTAGATCCTCCGGATATGGCCCAAGCTCCGTCAGGAACCTCTCTGGGTCCATCAGGCGCCTGGGGCGGAACCATCTGTGCGGTTCTGACTCCCTGCGGCGGGGGGGAGCGGTCCGGAAGTCCATCCTAAGGAGTGAATGGTCTGACCATGACAGGGGCTCTATAACTACCTCCCCCATTTCCAGATCATTCTGCCACTGGCCAGAGACAAAAATTAGATCCAGTGTGAGTGGGGCATAAACTAACTGGGTCAAGTCCAAGGCCGTCATGGAAGCCAAGAACTCCCGAGCTGTTGCCGACGTTTCGCCCGCCAATGGCAGATTGAAATCCCCCATGACTATAAGTCTGGGGGTCTCAACTGCCACCCCGGCTATTACGTCAGCCAGCTCAGGCAGGGCCGTTGATACATAGCAGGGAGCCAGGTATATAATCAACAGGCCCACTTGTACCCCTTGCCCCCACTTCACAAGGAGGGACTCTCCACCGTCTATCTGGGGCACAGTGGTCTCCCTCGGACATAGGCTCTCCCTTATAACGACCGCTACCCCACCGCCCCTACCCCGGGTCCTTGGCTGATGGAATACCTGGAAACCCGGCGGGCAAATATCAACGAGGGGCACTCCCCCTTCCGTGCCCAGCCAGGTCTCGGTGATACCTGCCAGGTCCGCACCCCCCTCTTGAATAAGATCTTGGATGAGGGGGGCCTTATTTACCANCGTTGCATAACATCAGCCGGTGATCCCGGGCCCGAGGATCTAAGATCCCTGGAAGCCGGGTAGAGCCCTGAGGACCGGAGCACCCACAAGCTTGTAAACAGCGTGTGCGAGCTCCCAAAACCCGATATGGTCCTCTGCTCCCGCCATATCTGCCCCTCCCACTGACCGTGCTAATCACACCACCCTCCCTTGACCCCCCCATTTTGACTCCAAAATTTCTGTTTGCTAAATGAAGCATTTGTTAAGTAAACTTTGCCACATTTCACAGTTGTTAAGTGAATCATTAATGTTGTTAAGTTAGTAACACGGTTGTTAAGTAAATCTGGCTTCTCCATTGGCTTTGCGTGTCAGAAGGTCACAAAAGATGATCACAGGGATCATATTTGATTCATATTTTTGTCGTTTGCAATTGCCAAGGTTGCCAAGCATCCAAATTATGGTCACGTGACTTCCTAGTTGCTGCAGTGATCGTAAGTGTGGAAAAGGACATAAGTCACTTTTCAGTGCTGTTGCAACTTTGAATAGTCACTAAATGAACTGTTGTAAATTGAGGACTACCTGTGTAGGCTAGAGAGAAAATCAATGGTTTAACGCCAAAGGGCATCTTGGATTCTCCATGAATTTCCATCCAGGGAGGATGGATGGATGGATTTAACAGTACAGGCAGTCCTCAACTTACAAACACAATTGAGCCCAAAATTTCTGTTGCTAAATGAGACAGTTGTTAAGTTCGGGACCCGGTTGTTAAGTGAATCTGGCTTCCCCATTGACTTCGCTTGTCAGAAAGTTGCAAAAGGACCCTAGGACACTGCAACTGTCATAAATGTGAGTCAGTTGCCAAGTGTCTGAATTTTTGTTCACGTGACCCTGGGGATGCTGGAATGATCGTAAGTGTGAAAGTGGTCATAAATGACTTTTCAGTATGTTTGAATGGTTGATAAATGAACAGTTGTTCATCTGTACTATCTGTAGTTATAATCCATTGGATGAGCCAAAAACATAATAGGAAAATCAACAATGTCAAAACCAAAAAGTAATCCCGAAAAAAACCAAAATAACTGCAAATAAAACCCAAGACTGGCATTTGCCATCAAACTAGACCAAAGGGATGTTGAAAGAAAACTCTTGTAACCACTTTCCATCACTATAGCAAAGAAGAGGCTGCATAATGTGTCCCATAAGGTGAGTATTAGGCTTCTATGTGTGCCTTTGCAATTGATATTTCTGTATTAAAGGGGTGAGGATGGCAGAGGAATGGGAATTAAACTATAGTCACCTGGAAAGAACAAGTGAGCTCAAGTTGCTAAGAATGGTTGGGGAACATGCTGGACTGGCCCCAAGGAATCCCAACTAAGGCAATTAATGAAATATTACTTCACTGTTTGTCAGTCCTGTTATCACTCATACTGCTATTATCAAAGCCATGTGCTTGCTTGGTTTTATTTGCAGAAGCCAGTCTGTGAAGCTGTTCCAAGCCTGGTGATTAAAGGTTTTCTTCCTCTTTCAAGGGCTGGCCGAGAAGCACCTCCTGCCTTCTGGGCAGCAAGTATTCAGCCCTAACCCAAAAGTGGCAGCAAAGGGGAAATCAGGCTGAATGGTTGGTGAATATCACCAGGAAAGCGGGGGTGGGGGGCGGGGGGAGGAAGCGGGTCCACCACCACACTGGGCAGAGAAGAAGCAGGCCAGTCGCAAAGCTTTGCTGTGGCCCAGAAGCCAAAGAGCCTTCAAGACCCTTTGGCATCCCCGGGGGAGTTTCTTTTTAAGCCTTTGCACCAAGCAATGCAAAGATCCTTCCGCTTGACTTCCCCTCTCCTGGAGAGAAGGTTCCCAGCTTCAGTGTTCAGCCCTCTGCAACTTGCCCTGGGAG